CCAATGCTACTTATACAGTATTATAAAATAATATTGTTCCGGCTTACATACAAATTTGACTTAAGGACAGACCTTGGGAACGGAACCCGTTCTTAAACTGGGGACTACCTGTACATGAAGGCCTACAGAACTAAGGGAGATTTAGCAGAATCACTTCCCTCTCTTTAAGCAGGATTTTCTGCTGTAACACAATCCCTTTCATGAACAGAAAGAGTTCTGTTTATGGAAAGGTGACTCTGTCCAGTAGATAGAAAGATGGATAGATTTATTATTGAATAATAATAATAATAATAATAGGAAAAAGAAAAATACAAAAGCTTGCCTCTTTGATGTAGTGAGCAAAAGCAGTCCACATATATATTCCTGTCTTTGCTGTGGAATTAAATTATTAATGGCTAAGGCACTTTACTTAACAATAGCTGGATATATATACTCATTTGCCCCCATTGTAATATATGCAATCTACTTATTTCTGTAGCCTCTTAAAGCTGAACAAATATAGTAGAATATTGTCCACAGAATAAATGTGTTACTCTTTAAGTGAGCATGTTTGTGGACTGTGGACTTACAGTGACCATACTTTGCCTCAGAACTGGACCACGTTATTGCAAAAGATTGGATGTTGAAAGGTGTTGTGCATTTTTATTATAAATATTGGAGGGCCAGTTGCCAATGCTGAGTGGTGTAGGGCCTGGACAACTATTTTCAGATGCATCAAACTGGCCTCAACTGAACTCTGGGTCTTAGCACTGAACAAGCGAGGGTGAGCTGCCTTTTAGAGGTGCCTGCAAACAGTCACTTGCCTGAAGCAATGAAAAGGGCTGTTTGTCCGGAAGGCAGCATGATCAGATGATAGATGTTTGTTTTGTATTTCTGACCCTAACAATTGCCTTTTTCATGACAGATTAAGGAACTTACAGGCAACCTCAATAGGAATTCCTCCTCATCTAGCCTGTCATCAGGGCCCAGTGGCCCTGATTCGGACACGTCTCATCCCAGCACACCTAATGTTGAGAGAAACATGTCTGTTTCAGTGAAGGATCAGCGAAAAGCAATCAAGGCTCTTTTAACTTGGGTTCAAAGGAAAACTAGAAAGTAAGTTGATTCCCCTCCTCTCTTTTTAAAACATAAGTCAATTTCATTGCCGGTTAGCTGGAAGAAAACATTCCTTTGTTGATCTGTATAAAGCAATGTAAAGGGGAGCTAGTGCAAGAACAGAATGTAATTGAGCCTGTTATCAAGCAGGAGATCAGCTTTCATGACCCTTCCTGTTCTGTGATCTTTTGTGTTGATAATACTGTTCTGATTTTCCCTGCGATTAATGACGCTGTGCAAATCCACATTACCATACAAAGATTATGTGAAACCAGAGTAAATGTACCAGTTCTCTCAGCAGGTGTTCTTGGAGAAAGTGGGGAGAATCCTAATTTATCTATCAGGAAATTGAACTGGAATTCAGCTTTGTGATTCCATTCTCCTGCTTCTATCTATTAGTCCTGAAGAAGAAAAGGGGTATAGTAATCTGTTTATCTGGAGGGAAGCTCCATTCCTCCCCAGATTAATTTTCATCTCTGTTTATACAGCTCAGAGGCCAGTCTTTTGTGCCTGAGAATGGACAGTAGCTTCATTGCCAGTTAAGATGCTGTTCTAAAATGCTAGCAGCTTCCATCCACATTCCAAGTAATGCCTGCTTGCCTTTCCATGTCTTCTTTGTGTTATGACTTCTTATAGGACAGTTGTGATGTGGGTCAGTAGAATGACACTATTGTGCACATCATATTTCTGTACAAATGTATTCTAAGTGAGAACTGTCTACCCAGGTTTTTTTCCCCTTGGAAGAATATTACAGAAAGTTTATGGCAACATTTTCAAAAATCTTGTGCAGAGATAGATATTCACAGATTAAATCACTTGAACAAATTGTGCTTCCTTGCCCATTAGATTTCAGGAAATAGTTTATAATTCCTCCAAATTATTACAGAGAGCAACTCCTCCCAAACCCTTTCTGTGTTTCTGTCTCTATTTAAATCTTAGTCTGTCTGCCTTAAAAGTTACAAGCACCATTATCCATCCCACAGATGCACATTCCTGGATGTGGAGAATGATCCTGTTCTCATTTTCCTGGTCATGAAGGCCCATTAGCCTATTTTTAAATCTCAATGGATTGCCTAGGCCAAAGGCTACCGAGCAGGTTTTAGGCAGGCCTTTCTCTTATGACATTATCAGACATGTCTCAAGGCACAGGAAGCAAACTGAGTTAATCACTGATCAGTGGACGGTATCACTGGGAACTTTCTGTAACACCCAACCCCAGCTTGCTTTTGGTGCTGTGGATAGCATCCAGCAGGGCTGTCAACTGATCATAGGGTGGACTCAATTCACTTCCTAGGTGGATTCCAAGCTGAATTTTGTAATGCCCATAGAATGAAATACTACTCACTTGAAAGGGACCTCTAGGGATCAATCATTTCAACCCCTAATTTCATGATAGTATTTAAATACTTCATGTCTCACAGGTAACATTCTGTACTATGATACCACCAAAGGTGTTTGAGCATCATCAGCCTATTACATTCTCTGTTATATTTTTTTATGTTGATGGCATTTCCATGCATGTTAATTTATGATCATTGCCTATCTGGAGGAGAGGCATCTGTTAAGTAAAGGAAGTTTCTGGATGATGTATATTTTTATATACACATGAAAAGCTAATAAAGATATATATTTTAAAAAGCCCTAAGTTCAGTAAAAATAGGAAGCGTATTTAAGCTTTAAAGTGCATCAGAGTTAACCAGCATCATGTCACATATATGGATATGTTCTTATATTTTTCTTAAACATAAATATTGGCATGGAATAAATTTTGATGAAAAGCAATATTAAAACATACCAAAGAAATAAATATATGAAAAGACATCTGGAGATTTAATTGTGGGCTCATGATTATGAGGTATGATTCCTAAAGCTGATTAGTTATTTTATTGCAACTATTTTTCATGTTCCAAACGTTGTTAAGCTTTGTGTGTTTTGCATATGAATTTTCACAATACCTCTCTCTCTTTTAGATATGGTGTTGCAATTCAGGACTTTACCAGCAGTTGGAGAAGTGGCCTCGCCTTCTTAGCTGTAATCAAAGCAATAGATTCTAGCTTGGTAGATATGAAGCAAGCTTTGGAGAAATCTCCCAGGGAAAACTTAGAGGATGCATTCTGTACTGCACAAGACCATCTGGGTATTCCAAGGCTCCTGGAACCAGAAGGTAGCCTACTCATATTTGAAGGCTATCAGCATGCATATAAGATTCAACAGAAACAGATAAAGCATGCAGGGCAGATAAATCACAACATGCATTCCACCCTTAAGAGAGATGGTTCAAAACAAGATTTAGGACACTCATGGCATTTAATACAAAACAGAAATCATGGAACTATTCAGTCTGACAGACAACACTGTTTTGAATCTTCCTAGAACAAAAATCACTCTTACTGATATGAAGGTTGTGGAAAAAAGGATAAAACAATCAACAATATTTTTAATTTAGCAAACTCTTTATCAGGGAAGATACCAGCATTGGATGGATCTAGAATCATCTTCCAGGCCATGCTTGTTCTTTTTGTACCTGGAGAAAAATATTAAGGTACAAAGATATTAATTAAGAATAAAGTAAAGGTGCATTTTGAAAAAAGACAGCATATTGGAATGGTAATTTATCGTGCATTTTCATTCATAGATGCTTTTATAAAGGTTAATATTGAAATGATGTTTCCTGTGATTTCTTCCCAGACATTATGGTTGATTCACCTGATGAGCAGTCCATCATGACTTATGTGGCACAGTTTTTGGAGCATTTCCCAGAACTGGAAGGGGTATGTATTTTCCTTCCCTTCACTGTTTAACATTTCTTCTTTTTAAGATACTTACATCATCTCTCTCTTTGTGATTTTCTGATATATTGTCATGTTGAATAGATTAAATAAAGAATGCTTACTGATTTTCAGACTTTTACCCTTGCATCATTGTTGCCCACTTATGTCAGCTTTTGTCAGCTATTGGTATTAATGTTCCAGCATTATGATCATAGGCTGATTCAGCTATTATTTTAAATTTAAGTGTAATCCAATCTCATCTCCTACAATTATGTACCATATTGAGTTGGGCAAATATTGAGGACTTTGTTGCTCTGGAAAGGTAGCTTTGTAATGAGTTGCCCAAATTGAGTTGATGACTGACTGATAGGGCTATTTGAACCCTTTGGAACCTGATTCAGATTATAAAGGTCATCCAAATGGGTTGATATGTGGTGCAGAATATCAAGCTTCAGAGACTGGCTTGTTGAAGGCACTGGACCTTGGACACAGACCTTCCTACATGCAAATATACAGTATTCGGAATCTGGTTTTTAAAATACAGGAATCAGCATACTCTCTAATTCATGCATATAGTCATATGCCCCCACCCTCACTTTTCAGCATATAAGAATCAGACATATACTGTCCACTTTCATCCAGGACTCTGTCCATGCCCTCTCTTCAACTTTTAGTGGTAGAAGTTGTGTCCTATAGAGCTATCTGAGGTAGGAAATAAACAATATAGACTAAAAAAAGTAACTTTGACATCTATGCTGTAAGAGTTTAAAAAGCAGAGGTGTGGAATTCCCAGATTTCATTCCATTATTATCAGTTGTAATAGAGTTTGCATGGTGAGAACATTTTATTTATGTTGAAATAGAATAATTATTTTCCCAGTATTTTGGAAAATATAACAATTCAACTTTTTTCTGATTCTGTGGTTCTATGATTATGTATTAATTGTCATTATTTATATTTAATATCACATAGGAAGATTTTTCAGATCTGGACAAGGAATTTCCAATTGAATCTGCTTATGTCCATATCAAAGAGATACCAGGGGAGGAAAAACAAGAAAAAGTGTTACTCCTGAATGAAAATGGGGAACACATTTCTCACATAGTAGGAAGCCAATCACCATCCCCCCCAATCGATGCTCTTGCTTTGCCTCTTCATGAGGAGAATCAAAATTTCCATACAACAAGTGAAGAACCTAATGACAGCCTAGATGATCATATGGATTCTTCTACAGAACAACCTCAGAGGCCTAGCTCATTGCCAGTAACAGGTTTTCAGATGAGTCCGATTGCTAATAATCTTGCCAATAATGTAACCCAATCTGAAGGAAATCAACTGAATGTGTCTGATTCAGTAAAGAGCGATGACCTCCCATCAACTGTTCTTACTTACCGCAACGATTCTGTTGAGCCAGTTGACTCTGATGAATTTCACTCAGATATGCAGAAACCATCCAGTGAAACAAAAGAATCATCTGAGAGTAAGATTTGCTCCTTGCCTTGGACTCCCCATTCATCTAAAAATGTACCGGAAGATCTGACAAATGAACCTGAGTATGAAATTCCAGGTTTTGTAGAACAAGAGACTGCACAGAAATACATATTACAGATGTTGAACCAGGAAATATCTAAGCTTCCAGAAAACGATGAATCTGCAGAACAAGCATCTAACATCAAGGAAATCCCAGCTACTAATCAGGAAATTGATGAACATGACTTTAAAGATAATTCAGAGGGATCTTGTACATCTGAATATTTTTCTCAACCAATTAGTAATACTTCCAGAAACCTTAATATTGCTAGTGAAGAAGAACCAATGATGACACCAAATTCTTCTAAAATTTCCATAATTCCTCATGACCTTTTCTATTTTCCACATTATGATGTCCCCATATCAGCAGTGCTGGATGCCTTTGCTACCTCCACCTCCGATACAGATCTTTCCCTTTTAGAAAACAACAAAATCTGCTCAGAAATTCTAGTGAATTGTTTGACTGAAAATGAGTCCCTTAGCCTAAGCACTGAAGGGGATATTCCCAAGCTAGATCTACAGAGCAGTATGAAGGATGTGCCAAAAAAGATGGATGATAAAAGCCCGAGAAAGCAGAAAAGAAATTCCCATAGTCATACCAAATGTTCCTTTAACAAGGCTGCTGTGGTGGGGAAAAATACATCGCCCCAAAAGAGCAGCAATATGGCTACTACTCAGAATGATTCCGCACACCCAGATGTTCCTGTGGTAAAGTTTGTTTTTGCCATTATTTGTTTAGTTCAGCAAAATAGTTCTTATTTTAATTTGCACTATATGGTGTACACCTGGATTTAGGGAGTTATATACTGCTATTTGGTTTTGTTTTGTTTTTGTTCATACATGCTACTTTCAAATAACTTTAAAGAATGGCTATTTTAGTTTAGTTTTTTTTTAAATTTAATGCAGGATTAGGTGCTCTCCTGATGTTTTTTTACTGGCTCATAAGAAGACATCAGAACACTTATCCCTGTTTTAATAGTGAGTTTGGATTTAAATATTGGGACCAGGAACACCTCAGACAAAGATTGATTTCAGAACCATTGATACAAAGCATCCAACAATCATTGCCATATATATCAGGAGTGGATGATGGATGTCATGTGGCCACTAGCCTTTCATTTATGGCTCCTAGAGTACACCGAGATGATATTGCTAAAGTTGGGGGGCAAAATGACTAAATTTCAATGGTGTCGTTTTAGATTTTAAAATATTTTAAATTATTAAAATAAGGGTGGGAATGGGAACATGTTTACAGGTGTGAACAATTCCATTTCCATCTTTACAATAGAACAGAAAATATTTTTGGTTCTGTTCCCTCTAGTGAGGTTCATACGTCATTGGAAACTCTTCTGCAACCTGCCACCTGGTTAGTTATCTGCCTCTCAGCTCTATTCTCTTTTGGATTTTGACTTTCTACTAATCACTCTCAAAACTGTTGATAGGAGTTCCATTTGTTGGCTAGCCTTGAAACAGTGTCCTCAGCTGGCCTTCTGTAGTAGGCTTTCTTAATCTGTTGTCTCCCATTTTGGCCAGTAACAATACTGGGTAGGGTTGATAGAAGTTAAAGCACATGGAGAACTGGGTGGGGAAGACTGCTATGTATGTCAGAGTGTTTTCAATTTGGCAAGTGCTGACATTTTATTATGAGGTTTGTGAACATCCAAACCCTTGAAAATATCAATAAGTTAGGGACGCTTACAGTGAAAGTCAGCATTAACTGGTGTATGTCATCTAGGTGATGCTTATTTTCAATATCATTCACAAAATTTGAGATTTTCACCATTTATATATAAATACCAATTGTCATATTTCAGGCTTTCATTGAATTATTAATATAAATAATTCTTTGCTATGTAATATTTTTGTTGGAAGGTCACTTTCATGATGATGAGTTTTAGAAGAGGTAGATAATTGTAGTTTATTCAATCTTTGCATAATGGGAATCTCATAGTAATGGTGCAATATATGAGGAATAGCAATTCAGCTGGCATCTCTGTAGCCAAAATTAGTCACAGCCAGGTATATTCATTGTGATTCTCACATGTAACTATTGTTTGCTCTCATTGCATTTTACATAGTATGTATGGTTTAAAATTAGGGAATACAAAAGGTTCCATCAAGATGTTCCAACCTAAAACAAGCTATTCCAAAGCTGGGTCTAACCTAAGGTCAAGCTACTTCTGAAACATTCAGATAAGCCTGCTTAGAGTCAGAACAATCCATTCCAGGATCTAAGCATTCCATGACAGAATGTTTTGCATACCCTTATGTGAATTCTCTTTTGTGATTATTTTCTGTTTTGGGGTGGGCTTTGATCATTCTGAAATAGTGTCCATACCGGTTTTGTGACTCCTTAATCCTCCTTTGATGATTTAATGTTTAAATAGGGACTTTGGTATTTCCTCTATAGAGAAGTACATAAACTAGATGAAAATGTGGAACTGGTGGAATGATATAAATTTTTCTTTGAGTATGCTATAGGTTCAGAGCATCAAAAGTTGATATATGCTCTTATTGGGCACTTGATTCCAATAGAAAAAATGAAGGTTATAGCATGAAAAAAAGAATTTGGGGATCATACCTGTGACACTGCTCTAGCAGTGCACAGTTATTCCTACCATCCAGCATAAAAGAGATTCAACAGCCCCAAACTGATACTTAGTTTGAACATTATAATGCAAATAAATATGTCTAGCTGTGATTAGTTTAGGCAGTAGAGAAATGTCAGTCCAACTTCTATGAATGAAAATATTCAAATCCTCACAATCTGTATCTTTACAAAAGAGATTCCATTATGTAAGCATTTTTATTATATGAAATAATGCTCTTCCTCAGTGTATGTTATTGCAGAGCCAACCTCATAGCAATGAACAGGGCATGCAAGGTTACGGGATCTAAGGAGGCCTTTGTACATAGAGGACTGTATATGTAGGCTTCCCCATTTGAGAAATCTACAGTAAGTAACATGATTGCAGGGGCAGAGCTGGGAAAAGCCACTTTAATATGGGGACAAACGTCCTTCCTATGTGCCTTGTCCTCTTTGGGCAAGTAACACATATAGGAGGCAATAGTTTTTTGAAAGTGTATTGCATATTTTCCTCTATAGCTGGTGGATAATTACATTTTTGAGAGATTTGGTCAGAACCTTGTTTCCATTGTGGAACCACTTAAAGGAAACTTTAAACTCTTCAGGAACGACCCCATTATAAACATTTGCTGACATTTTAAGAATATTTAGCTGCAACTAGAGATAGAGGGCTTGTATGCTACAGAGGAAGTGAGTGAAAGCTAAAAATAGAAGAGAAGAAATGCCCAGGAACATGTGAAGATCTGTGGGACAGAAGTGAACTAGGAAGCCAGAGGCAGGGACTGATTTGGCCAAATGTGTTGGAAGAATGATTGAGAATAGTGAAATGAAATTTTAATTAAGTATTCACTTAGCACATGCTAAGCAGAATAGACAGTTGCTCCTCCTATAGCTGCTTTCACAGTAAGATAATTTCTCAGGTCTTATTCTTATGATTTCTGTTAGAAATGGAAGTTCTCCTGGAACAGAGTGCCAGGGAGTGTAGATTGCTGAAGGTTACACTGGAATCTTTTTGAATGGTGTAGTGCATTCACATGTTGAATGCTAGGCTTCCCCATCACATTCTCTTCAGATGTAGTTGCACTATTGCTGCCATTTATATTTTAGTATATTTTTTAAAAACATGTTATTGGTAAATGGTTTGGGCAGCACCCTTCTGCAAGGAAATATAGTAAGACTGACAAAAATATATGTAGTTGCTAAGAGTTGATGCTAACTTGATGACACAGAATCAGTTAAACCAACTGTGCAAGGAAGAAAATAGGACTGTGCAAGGATTAGAAAATAGAATAAACAATTACATGTAGTTTATCATTAAAGAAGATAATTTCATGGTGGAAGAATGTACCTCTTTGTGTTTAACACTGTTTTTATAGATCATGGCAAACCAATCTGATACTGCAGCTGAAGAAAGGAAACTGCCAGAAGAAAGAAGTAAAAGGAAAGAAAAAAGGAAGAACAAAGCAATCTTCCAAGGAGAAAGTACCCAGAGTTCAAAACCTGGCTTTACCCGGTTATTAGATAAGCTGGAAGAAGAATCTATAGACCATCAGGGTCTGTCAAGGTGCTTTCTGTTTGTTTTGTCTAGTCCCCACCCACAAAACCTGTCTGGCCACTTTCCTTGCCCATTTTCCAGATAAAGTGCAGTCACCTGCCACATCTCACATTTTACTGACCTTCCTGATAGGCCAGTCCTAAAAGCTGTAGCATGGAAAGTGAGTAGGGGATAGTAGGGGATAGATATACATCTAGATGCATTTTGGAAGGACATGATATGGCCAATGTTCAAGCACATCAGGGAAGATATCATTGAGTGCATGGTTTTCCAAGGAAATTAATGGTGTTTAAAAGTAACCATCTTTTTTTTCTTGCATTAAAAAACAAAGATGAACTTGAGACAATATCGTCTTTTTAAAATTTTTGTTTAGTCATTATATAATAAAAGCAAAATACTTTTCTTCCAACAACATCTGAGTAGTTCTTTCCCTTCTCCTTCTCAAATATTTCTTGGGAAGATATTTTTTAGACTGTCAATTGCATCTGTTTTTCACTGAATCATGTTAGTGGTGCTGTCGTTTTGGTTGTTCTTGTAGAATTTAATTTTTTTTAATTGCTTATGTTTTATGGCAGCTGATCACCTAGAAGAATAGGTAGGTCACTTTCCATTAGAAAGGGATCCATTCAACCATAGGATCAGCTGTACCCAAAATGGATATATTTGGAGCCTGATGGATATATTTTCACTGCTGCTTCATTATAGCTGCCTTGGATTGAGGTACTTGTTCTCTAACTGGAAGATCAATAATGCAACGTAAGCAGCAGACCAGAATCCCTTGTGATCTGCTAAGCTAAATGCAGGATTTTGTTATGAGAGCTACTCAGTAATCAGAGTTTTATTATTTTATTTATCCTGTCAGAATAACATCCATGACCAAGAGGCAGAGCAGGCTAGATCTATAAAGTGAATTCATTCTAATTTACAGTTTCAATTTGGGAAATCTACTTCAATAGCCTTTAGTGGTATATATTTTTTTAATGCTGTCAAGATGAGCTGAGGAGATCAAAAGAAGGAGGAGGAAGGAAAGGAGACTTTACCAAGCCTCTTGGGGGACTCACAACTGAGTTTTCTGATAGTGTTATCCTTAGTCCCTTATTCAGTGCACTGAACCAAACTGGCTAAATCTCGTTAGTACAATGGCTAGTAAACAAACATTATGCTTTCCAGTCTTGTAGTATCTAATCCCCTGCCATTGATTAACCCTTCCCCCAACTGCATTCTCACTCAGCAGTTTCCCTGGCTTTCAGTAGTCAGCCACCTCTTCATTTTCTCTCTTTCCTATTTTGTTGTGGGACTTGTGTTAAACCCTCCTCGCATCAGTTTATGGCTTTCCTTAAGTATACATTTCTCCTTAAGAACTACTTATGCTGCCATGTCAAGATAAGTAGAGAATGTAATGGAAAGTATCTACTGCACTTTTAGTGGATGGGCAAACTTGGGAGTTGGCTCACTTTCTTGCCAAGAGCAGTAACTGTTCCGGAACATCACTTATTAAGGTAGACTGAAACTATTAATAGATTGTAGTAAGTGGAAATGTTGCAGAGAGAGAACATGGACTACACTAGAGATACATTTATCTGAATAATTTGAGGATCTGAATAGCTGAAACTTGAGTTCGGAAATGTGCTGTGTCACTGGAGATCTCTTTCTTTTAGAGTAGTCTTCTGCAGCAATGCCTTCCAGATGAGCTGGACTGTAATTCCCTCACCCATATTATGGTCATTGTATTTTGCATTGGCCATATTGGATGGAAATAATGAAAGTTTTACTTCTATACCTGAAACCTTTCAGGCTGGGGAAGACTGCAACTGTATCTGGGCGTTCAAATCATGGCTCACTTATATATGGATTCATTTATACATTTCAGGATCAGCCACAGTGATCCCAATGTTGTTTTCCAAATAAATACTACTGATTCAGCAAGTAAGGTAAGCAGGTGGGCTTTTACTTCTATAATTAGCATATACCCCTAATATATATCCGTATGAAACTGTAATGGTATGTGAGAAAGACCTTGAGACATGGGATAAAGACCTGCTGCCTAGGGAATGGTCAGATAAGAGAAGGCATAGCCTATAGCTGCGCAGTGGGTGGAGTAAGGGGCTCAGAAGGGACCCTCCCTAGCTTCTTGGGCTGTAAAGGAGATGGCAGGAGATTTGTACAGGTAGTCCCCAGTTTAAGAATGAGTTCCATTCCCAAGGTCTGTCCTTAAGTCAAATTTGTACGTAAGCCAGAACA